AAAAAAAAAAAAAAAAAAAAAAATCTACTCACGTCTCTAGTGAATTGCTCATCACAAATCGCCCATATATATATATAATTCTCGAATGCGCTGAGCCTACGTGGCTGCTTCTGGTGCTTCGGAATCCTACTTGACGAAGAATCATGCTTCGTAATTAGATTCGGACAAATAATATTGATATATTAATAATTAATATCTAGGTTCGAACATTCCATAAATATTATTTAGCTAACTTAGATATTTTAATATCACTTGTACTAATATAACCCTTTAATTCTTCGTAATTTTACATAGTGAGACAATAAGTGACTAATATATCTGTGACTTTTGATTTGTTTTCTTCAATTAGTTATTGAATTATAAATATATTTTAAAAGTTGATAACTTTTGTATTTCTTATCGGTTTTACATATATAATATATCAAATTAATCATCTTTTCATGATCTTCGATTTGACATCCATATTGTATATATAAAATAAATAAATTATATTTACCTTTATAATAATAAAAAATAATATTTATTAAATTTTATTAAAAAAATAAAATTATTTCTCAGTTGATATATTTTTGTTTAATGTAGTTATATGTTGTAAGTTAAAAAAATTATTATAATATAACACAAGTAAGTCACACAAATAAAAAGTGTCATACTAAATATATAATAATATATATTTTTATAAAAGTTATTTAAATTTTCAACTATTTTTTCTCAACAATTTTAGATTTTAAGGAAAAAATTAGCAAGCATCCGTGTAATACACGGGCGTTGTACTAGTTTCTACTTGAAAAGAGACAAAGGAAATTACAAAACCAAATAAATTCATTGTTAAAATGCCCATTACTAAATTCGAGCAATTACACACTTATAGAGTGGCATTATCAATAGAAACTTTTCACAACCAATCCAAGCAAAACTAACCATTTGCTATTGGTTTGAATTAAAGGGTAACAATAAATAACATCCAAGTTAACCCCTTCAATCAAGAAAACAAAAAAATGATTCTTGAATTTCATGTGCCCATTTCCAAACTAACTGAAGTTCAGCAAAGTACCATCAACTACAGCTAGGAGGCCTTGTGGGTTATTATTAGATATGATGTAAATAGGGTTTGACTGGCCAAATCGATCGAAAAACGTAAGCCCGTCGAGACTTTAGATAAAGCATTAATTTCGAACCCTCGATCCTTCTATCTTGTACTTGAACCCAAGAACCCTAACTGCTCGGCCAAGACATCAACGCCCTCTCCACCATATTCTCCCCCGAACCCACCAAAAGTCCCAATCCTATCATCAATCCCATCCTCGATCCCATCATTGATCAACCCATCCCAAAACTTATCATCGCCAAACGAATCTTCGCCAACATTATTCATGTACTTTCCTTGTTCGTGGCTATCGCTCATAACTCCTTCCCCAATCTTCTTTTCCATCAAGGGTTCTTGCACGTTCGTCCCAAATCCACAAACACCACCATCACCACACTCTTGAGGTTCCATCTTAACATAAACATTCTCAACATCATCGATAACGCCACTTTCTCCCCCAAAATCACCAACCATATCATCGTTTGTACCGATATAAACATCGAAATCGCGGATATTATGATTATTATTTCCCGAACCAAGATCGATTTTCTTCCTTCTCTTCTTGCCAATGGCCTCCTCGATCTCCTTCCTCCGTTCATTTTTCTGCACGATTTGCTGCAAAAAACTCGGATTCTTCAACACCCTCGCCAAGAAACTCATCGTGTGCTGCTGCTTGAGCTCGGTCCCTCTAAGCCTTTGCTCCATTGCATTCAAATGGAGTTTGGTGTTCTGCTGTTGTTGCCGGAGTTTAACCAACTCCGTCATTAGGACGTGTTTGTCGCGCCTCAACCGGTCGATTTCGGCATCCAAGGATCCGTACATTCCGACCTCGACACAAGATTCAGAATTCCTACTCTGTTTAGAACAAGTAATTGGTTGTTGTGGGTTATTTGGTGGGTTGTGTTTTCTCCTCCTAATGTGTTTCAAGAGATGCTTTTGCCCCCTCAAAAACCCTTCATTTGCAAACTCCCATCTGTCAGGATCAACTTTCCTGAAGCCCTGCACAAAGTTCACACTCTCCACCCCTTACAAATCAAAATATATTGATTTTATATAAAGCATAAAAAGATAAAAGAAAATACCAAGATAGCATATTTTATTTAATTTACCTATTTCATCAGGAACAAAAGAAAAAAAACCCAGAAAATATATTACCAAATTAAAAATATGTTCATTTACTTAAATTATTTATATACCTAAAATTCAAATCAGACCCATAACTAATGAAATGAAAGCATTTTTATTATTAAATCAAAATTATAACAAAATAGTCCAAGAAAATGTTTTACACATATAAAGCATAAAAAGATAAAAGAAAATACCAAGATAGCATATTTTATTTAATTTACCTATTTCATCAGGAACAAAAGAAAAAACCCAGAAAATATATACCAAATTAGAAATATGTTCATTTACTTAAATAAATTATTTATATATGCCTAAAAAATCAAATTAGACCCATAACTAAGAATCCCTCCCCTCAAGCTCTTCAACTCTCTAATAATAAAATGAAAGCATATTTATAATTAAAATAAAATTATAACAAAATAGTTCAAGAAAATGTTTTACACATATATAAATTTATAATAATAATAATAATAATAATAATAATAATGATAATAATAATAATAATAATTATAATAATAAACTGAATAATTGAAAAAAAAAATCTTACATAAGTATTGAGCTGCCTGACAAAACTGGAGAAATTGTTGTGTTTGAAGTACTTTGGGAGGAGATTCATGGCAAAAGACTGAGGATCCCAAACAATGAAGCTGTTGTTACCTCTTCCCCAAGAAACTACCTCATTTGTTGTCTCATCTTCAACCAATTCATATGTCTTGTTCAAGAATGGTGTGGGCCCTGCTTCATTTAAACCCTCCAATGGCTGAGGAGCTATCATCATATGGCCTTAGATCTTGAAAAAAAAGATTTGCAGAGAAAGATCTTGAAATATAATTTCTTTTTTTTTTCTTTTCTTTTTTTTTTTACAGATAAAAATGGGAACAAAGAAGGAGAAGAAGAAGAAGAAAAACATTATGGGGGGTGGTGAGGTGTTAGCTATGAACAGTGGTTTTGAATATTTTATTGTGAGAGTTCATAAGTAGACAGAATAAAAAATTTAATTTTTAAATGAACATTAATGCTCCCTTATTCATGATCGGCACATGTTATTATGTCCATCGCTTATGTGACATGCACACATTGGTGATATTAATATGTTCAGAAAAATATATCACCAATGTGTGCATGTCAACTCAATGATTTCGCTTCGTCCGTTGGGTCCGTCACCGTCTGTGTACCGTGAGTAGGGGAGCATTGTTGTTTAAATGTAATAGACTGTTTGAAATCTGGACAGGTGGAAAGTGGAGTAAGAAAGGGGAAAAAAGGGGGTGTTCGATATTTTGTGAGGGCTCTCCCTATTCTTTCTTCTTTTGGGAGGGCATTGATTATTTTTATTTTGAAAAAAAAAAATATATAATGGAAAATTAGATAGATAAATAAATAAATATTGGACAACAATAGTCTCTGCAGTCGCTGTCATGTTATGCATCACAAGATCTTACTCCTTTTGTACAA